ATCAGGATGTCAACGTGTTACTGGGGGCACCGACGGGTTCAGGAAAAACGGCGATGGCCGAACTCGCAATGTTCCGTGTTTTTAATACAACTCCAGAGAAAAAGGTAATTGCTTTCATTTATCAAGTTATTCCTTTTTGCTAGTGTGTCTACATTGCCCCGTTGAAAGCGCTTGTGCGAGAACGGGTGGACGATTGGTCCGTTCAGATTGGCAAAAAACTCGGAAAGCGGTGAGTCGGTACCATTTAGTCCTTGTCAATTTGTTTCATATTTCTTTAATGGGAGGTAAAACTTGAGTCGCAAATTGCTCGGTTAATATCACTGATAGATCAGTAATTAGAAAGGGGCTAAATCCTATTTGTAAGGGTATTTTTGCTGGCAGTTTGTATGTGGCAATATTTCAATATCTGCAGCGTGGTTGAGCTGACGGGCGATGTGAGTCCAGATGCCAGTCTCCTACGAAATGCGGATGTAATTGTGTCAACACCGGAGAAGTGGGATGGTGTTTCACGAAGTTGGCGACAGCGCAACTACGTCCGTCAGATTGCTCTCATCGTGATCGATGAGATCCACATGGTTGGGGAGGATCGTGGTCCCGTTATAGAAGTGAGTTCGCTCGCTTATTTTTAACTCCATTAGTCTGTTCGAAAAGTGTGTAATTTCTGATTGTCAAGACTCCTCCTTCCCAAGCTTTCAGATTGTTTGCTTCCTTTTTTCAGGCGATTGTATCGCGAGCCAACTTCATCGCAAATCAGTTGAACACACGAGTTCGCATCGTGGGTCTATCGACTGCGCTTGCTAATGCGGTAGACATGGCGGTGTGGCTACGGGTGCCCCTCACTCCGCTCGGTGTGGAGAGCGGCTGCAGTGGACGCGGCCTTTTCAACTTCCGGCCTTCCGTCCGTCCGGTGCCTCTAGAAGTTCACATTCAGGCTTTTCCTGGTCGTCATTACTGCCCCCGCATGGCTCTGATGAACAAACCCATCTTCCAAGGTATGACTTTTTGATTATTCTGATTTAGCCACATGACATCAATGTGTGGTGTTTGTTGTTGCAATTCCTTTGTCTGATTCAGCAGCAGCAATTCAGTCCCATTAGCTTAGAATCGGAATGCATAGCAAACAAGTTATTTGGGAAGCCGCATTTATTTAATTTATTGCGTTTATCATGGTTCCAAGTATGCAAGGATTTCAAGGAGACTGAAGGCAAGGAGACGGCTGAGGGGGAAAGTATTAGTAGTAGCAACAATAGGAATGCAGTGGTGGTTGTTAGCATACCATTCAGTGATGGAGGCGAAGGTGATCCAAGGAGGGGTAGAAAAAAGTTGAGAGTTTCGGAGAGGGGGAGGAAACGGCGAAAAAGTGGGCGACAAGTAGTGGCAGGGTTTTGGGAGTAGAAATTATTTTGCAACTTCGGCTAATCAGACGTGTCAATTATTTGCGATGGAAGCATCACTACTGGTGGAACTAAAGTATTATTTATTTATTTAACCTAACAGCAATTCAAAGTCACTCGGCAGAGAAGCCGGTGTTGGTTTTCGTGGCGAGTCGGCGGCAGACAAGACGGACGGCGTTCGATTTGATCAGCCACGCCTCATCGGACTTTTTGCCGCGTCGATGGCTTCACATGGATGTTGACGAGGCAGGTCTTTGCTCTTTGCCTGGGTCGGTGACCAATCAAACATCCACTCAATCGACTTTCTTTTATTCACTGTGTTAGATGGAGGCCTTGGCATCGACGATGAGAGACCAAAACCTTCAAATAACCCTCCCCTACGGCATCGGTATTCATCACGCCGGCCTGCGTGAAAACGATAGGCGGATTGTGGAAGAGCTCTTTGTCAATCAAAAAATTCAGGTAGATTTTCTTTTTTTACAAAACGTATTCCAACTTTCCACACTGGACTCACTTGATACGTCGGCACTCACTATAATCGGTTCCCAATTTTTCCCATTCTAAAGGTGCTGATTGCCACGTCTACACTGGCATGGGGTGTCAATTTTCCCGCTCACCTGGTGATTGTCAAGGGAACGGAATATTTCGATGGAAAAACGAAGCGATATGTCGACTACCCCATCACTGGTATATTAAATGTATTCATGTTTCCCTTTTTCAATCCTGTGTTTGTATACATTTACGTGACTAGTGCCAAAGTTTATATTCTACTGCTGTTTCTCCGACGACACTTTTCTTTGGTCACCATCGATTAATTTCAGTTATTAACGTCTGCATCGTTATGAATGTGGGTTCGTTGGTCGTTCACATCAGTGGACTGGAAATAGGCCCATGGTTGTCTGTGGATGAGTTCATTCGTTGATAAAAATGCTTTTTTGTATGTGGGAGTAGCCATTCAGTCGCAAGCCTCATACGTATTTAGTGGTGATAATGATGACGTGTAAACTCAAGTGTTGGTGCTATTTGCTTGACAACGGCCAACTGCTTGCTTACACATCGGTGAAAAGTTGCCTTTGGCCTCGCAGATGTGCTGCAGATGATGGGTCGTGCTGGACGTCCGCAATTCGACACTGAGGGCAAGGCGGTGGTGATGGTGCAGGACATCAAGAAGGCCTTCTACAAGCGTTTCCTCTACGAACCCTTTCCTGTGGAGAGCTGCCTTCCTCGCATCCTGCCCGACTACCTGAATGCCGAGGTCGCCTCTGGCAGCGTCGCTTCCATGCAGGCAGCCGTTGAATGCATCACGTGGACATTCTATTTCCGTCGCCTTCTCATGAATCCCAAGTTCGCTTTTTCAACATCATTTTCACTAATCCACCATTGTTTAAGTCTAACTGGGCGTTTTTATACAGCTACTACCATCTGGAGGACACGAGTGCAGCGGGTGTGAGTGCCTTCCTTTCTGCGGTCGTGTCCTCCGCGGTAGAGCAATTGATGGATGCTGGTTGTGTTGAGGTGGGTGAACCTGAATTTGACGAGATGAATACGAATATCATCCCTCTCTACTCCACTGCAATGGGTCGACTCGCGTCCTTCTACTACATTTCCCACAAAACCATCCGCCTGTTCGCGGAGAGTCTTTCAGCCACCACCAGCATTGAGGATCTCATTTACATCCTCTCGGTGTGTCTACTTGCCTCGGTGTGAAATAATGTCCGTCAAAATGGAATAAGTGGAATTTATTTCGTCTAGATGAGTGAAGAGTTTGCGGACATTCCGGTGCGCCATAGTGAGGACGAGGTGAACGCAACTTTGGCAGGCGAAATGCCGCTGCGATTGCGGGAGCCGCCGGAGTCGGGGCACGCGAAAGCACACCTTCTATTGCAAGCCCACCTCTCGCGGAAGACGTTGGGGCTGCCGGTGGCGGACTACATAACAGACACGGCGTCGCTACTGGAACAGACGCCGCGACTGCTTGCTGCGCTGCTTGACTGCGCCGCACTTGGTGGGCATCTGGCGGCGGCACTGCGATGCGTCCTCCTCGGGCAGATGATTGGACGCGCGCTTTGGCTCTCCGACTCGCCGCTGCTGCAACTCTCCGCCTCACTTGACTCCTCCCATCTCGCGGCTTTTCACCTAAGCGAAGATGCTTACGTGGAAACGTTGCCTCAGTTGTTGAAAGTGGCTGGTGCTGCGCCTCGATTCCCCGGACTGCGAGATGTCATAGGGGACCGCCTAGCTCCCGAAATCGTCGAACAGATCAGGAGGGTGAGGTGGTGATAATGTGTAGCAGTTCGGAGACAAAATTACGAGTTACCAAGTGCTGCTAGGATATTCACGCCAGTTTAATCTTGGCTACTTCAATCGTTGTTGCACAGCTTTTTAATGCCTCTGGCTGTATCAAATTCACCATGGATATCATCTGTGCCAGCACGAATAGGCCTTCAGCTCGTGATTTTGCGGCTACAAAATGTTCGAAGAATGCCAATTTTAATTAAGCGATTTAGTTAAGCGAAATGAGATATTTCTTACACTAAAATTCTTCATCACATTATTTTTAGTGCTATTGACGCCAGTAGTCCTCCCTTCTTTTCAGTAAATCTGACCTTCAGCCTTTCTCTCCCCACAGACTCTTTTGTGCTTACCAATCGTATCACTCCAAATATCCCTAGCAGGGGGTCCGAGTGAAGAAAAGGTGTCCATTATCGGACTCGACGTCTCCCCAGAGGAAGCCAGACAACATCCGCTCGACGTGCACCCCGATACCGACTATGCACTTATCGTGACCCTCAACTACGAAAATACTCCCTCGCTAATGGTGGGCACCAATTCGAAGTAACCTTTTCACTTACACATTTCAAGCAGCAGCACTACTTCTGTTTCAGCCTCGAGATCATGGGGTACGTCAATCACGGCCGCCTGGTTGGGTTGTGGCGTTGGGCGAGCCGATGGGAACGGGGGTGGACGAGGGTGGTCTTCTGCTGGGCATGAAGAAAACGACCTTCAGGAAGAGCCCCTCCCACGCTAATGTGGTTTCTCTGTCTTTCCGCTTCGACGACACGACGACCACTGCTGAGGGCTTACACGAGCTGTCGCTCTATCTTATGTCCGACACCTTTTTGTCCATGGACCAACAACTTTCCTTCTGTCTCCGCCTTCTCCCTCCCTTGGAAGGCGAGGGGGACCAAGCCGGCGGTGTGGAGGACTATGAGGATGAAGTGTAGCATTCATGATTGCCACCTCTCTGTGTATACTAACTGAGTGATTTTTTTAATGAATAACCTACTTTCTTTTCCACTGGACCGGCCTCTTCAGTGGGCTGGGAATGTGACAACCGTACAAAGAAAAGTGAAATAGCATGGTAACTAGTGCTTTTGGCATTAATACCGCCAAGATAAAGCTGTTTTTTTTTTCTGTCTACCGTTCAAAGCTATTTGGTAGTGTACCCTTTTTAACCTTTCTATTCAAAATCTGATTAAGACCATCATAAAACATGTTTATTAAATACAAGAAGATAATAATTCTAAGGACTAGGGCATAGTGGCATTGGCATAGATAACGCGCATCCAAAAGCAACCATGAAGGAAGTTCACGTTTCTTAGGGCAGGAGAGGGGAGGGAGAAGAGGGGAGCAAAGAGAGCGCACGTAGGGTCAAATCGGCTAATCCACACTCGCATTTATGTACAAAGAAATGGCAATTAGCGTTCTGGTCGTTTCATCGCACTGGTCGACCATCTAAAGGAGGAAAAGATAAGCGTTAGTTATGCTGAAATCAGCATAAAGGTCACCAGGGTTCAAAAAGTGTCAGGAACCTTGTCCACGTGTAAGAGGCTGAACACTAGCGCCCAAATGCTGTTGGTGCTGCTTCATCGCCACAACCTGGAAGATTAAGATACACAAAAGTGGACAAATTAAAAGCCGACTTGGGTAGAGAAGCAAATGTGGCAGAAGTCACCTCGTGGTAGGAGGGAAGCGGTGGTCTTTGCATAGCGCCTTGGGGCGAAGGGTGTCGATGAACCAAAGCCGGTGAGGTGACTCTTGGTGGTCCTCCCACACCACCCCGTGGAGGCGGTTCGCTCGATCTTCGCACGAAACCCCCAACATTTCGCATCTGCTGCTGCTGTTGTTGCTGCTGCTGCTGCATCTTCAACATCATAGCATAATCATACGCTGGTGGTTGTTTCGGCGGCATCGAGTGTTGAGGTGGCAGTGGTGGTGGCGCAGGAGGAGGCGGTGGAGGTGGTGGTGGTGGTGGTGGAGAATGGAATCTGCTCCGCTGCTGACTTGGCAATGCCATCTGTTGTTGTCGTGCCACCCATTGTGCTGCAGCCATCGCTGACGTTTGCTGCTGCTGCTGTTGCTGGCGGTATTGCTGGTGCTGCTGGTGGAGTTGGAGGTGATAGACATTGGTGGTGGGGGGAGGAAGGTATCGACCCCTCTGACCCGTCCTCTGATCTCCCACTACATAAGCGGGCACACCGTTGGACAGGTAGTGTTGATAGCGCACGCCGTAGTGGCAATATTGCTGAGGATGCAACAGCTGTTGGTGGTAATGGTGATAGTGCTGTTGCTGTGGGTATGTTGGGACCGCACACATTCGCATGCGGCGACGCGAGGTTCGCTCCTGTAGAGCAATGAGCTTTCGAGCATCCTCGATCGACTGGTTACCGAAGATGGAGCGGTGAGAAGAGATAGTGGCGGTCGCACTGGATGTGGGTACCATGGCGGCAGCTGTGGAAATGACGGTTACTTGTGGTGGTGTCGGTGGCAGTTGAGATTTCGAAGGAGGAGATTCAGCCACGAAAGCTGATTTTCCACCCACCACCGCTACCGATGGCGGTAGTGGATGCTGAGGCGGTGCGGGAGCAGGTGTAGGGGTGGGAGTGGCCTCCTTAGAAGTGGCGCCACCGGATTCCGCCCGATGCGAAAGCTGCGCCAACCGATCCAGGTCCTCAGTTACTCGTAAACCCGCCATGTAGGTGCGCACTCGCAAGCGCATCTGCCACGCCGCATACATTGCCTTCACTTTGGCTTTTTTCATCCCACCCCAAGCAACACCTCCCAGATTGGGTACTGTCACCCGAGTTGGTGAAGAGCCAGCACCGGAGGCGGTGGAGAGGAGAAGGGAGGTGGCACCACTCATCAACGAGACAACACCGCCTCCATCACTGGACTTTTTTGGTTGTATATGTGAGCCTGACGGAAAAACAGAGTTTTTTTAAAAAAAAACATTAAGGTTACTTATATTGCAATAAGTTAGCCTGACTCAAATTGAGTTGCATATAGATATTTGACTAACCTTGATTGTTTACAGAATCAGTGGCGGAGGACGCGGAAGCAGTGGAAATGTTGGAAGCAGAGGAGGTTGGTAGAGATGGTTGTTGGTGCTGCTGTTGTGGTGCTGAAATATCAATCGTGGTGGCATTGCCGCTGCCACCTCCAGGAGCCAATAGAAAAGAGAATTTATTCGAGGTGCCGCCTGATTGGAGGAGGCGTTGGGCCAATGGGAGATCGTACTCGATGTCACACATTCGACGGAGGGAGCGAATCTAGCAAACAAACGAAAATTCAACCACGAAAGCCATCGAGATGATGGTCTTAGCTAGTAATATCCAGTACTATCCATGAGACCCCACTACAACCATCGAATTAGTAAAATTTGAGTAAAAATAAAAATTATTTAATCAAATCCTAGTGGCAGTAACAAAGCCCTTAAATCTGCTAAATTAATCTGCCTGACAATTTAATGATTGGCAAAGAGTCAGCCAACTTTCACTGACCTCCTTGGCGAACATGCGCAGCTTGGCGAAGTTGATGAGTTGAGGGCAGGCAGACGAGGAGGCGGAGGTGGCGGGGCTGCGTGAGGGGTTGCCTAGGTGAATGAAGGTTAGGTCTTTCAACACCAGTGGTAGATAGGGCACGAGAGGGAGACACTGCGCCCCCGTTTGCGGCGACTGCGGCGGCGAGGTGAGGAGGTTGCGGTAGTGCGCGAAGTTTCGTGAGGGGTCCAACACCAACTGCAGTGGAGTAAATACGTAAATAGGCCGGCAGACAGACGGACAGAGACAGTTAAGCGGACGGATAGATGGACTAATGGCTCGATGGAGGGATGGAGGGATGCAGAGGCTAAAATGAATGTTAATTTGGTTGCTAGGTTGGGTAATTGAGATACGTAGACGCACTGATGGAGAAAGAGAAATCAAAGGTAAAATATAGGCAGATAAAGAGGAGTAGAGGATGCTGGTCGTAGCTTGCGAGCCTCCTTCTACGCATTTTTCCTTATGGGAACAGACGGGCAGGCAGTCAGGTAGACATGGGAATATCCACAACCCCTTTTCACTCCCGTTTTAAACAAAGCTGGCCTAGAGCTTTACTAAGACGCTGCAAGTGACAAATTGCAGGTCAATCAGCTTCATTCTTACTGTATGACTGCGTGTGCTACAACCTTCTGAATGAGGGGGAAGAAAGTGAGTTAGTCCAATGTCAAAGGCAAGGGCAAAGATGAAGGCGAAGGCTAGTAGCAACCGCAAATGTAAAAGAAAAAACAGAGATGAATTTGATGGACGGCTTGACAGATAACAGACAGACAGGCAGAGGAAGAGACGTACAGCGAGGTCGCGACTCATCTTGACGTATTTATTGGGAAGGCGCTCCCAGGTCTGCCGCAGACGTTCCACCGGCGACATGTGCAATCCCACGAGGATGCAGAACATGGTGTTGAAATTTCGCAGATCTCTGCACAACTTCGCTATCTACAGTCGAAAAAATGCAAAGGAGAGTGCGTACACCCTGTCTGCTATCGGCTTGGGTAGCTAATTGGACTGCCATCACTTGCCCAAGGCATCACACCAAGAGATGATTAGCATATAGGGGCACATCACGAAAAAGAGACCGTTACTGCTAATAAGTAGCTGCATACATTATGGTAGTGATTCAACAGATCAATGGATGTAAAGCGCACAGTGTATCAAAGAGGAAATCCCACCGGTACTCACACAAGTGGCTCGAGTGCTACAGACCCGGTTTCCACATTACTGAAAATAGGCGAATTTGCGGACAAATGGGAGATGAAACAATGATTGACGGATGGTGGGTCACACGGGAAGGAGACATTTGGCACATAGACCATCCAGTTCTCCAAACAACCCAATACCATTTTTGTTAATAGACAAGACTGAAAGTCAAGTGGTCATCGAAACGTCCGCTGCCAGTCTTCGTTGTGAAGTACTGTGGATATTCTCAGAAAATGCACATTTTCCTTTTTGGTTATCAGCTTTTTCCGTAGTGTGTATCGATTGCACAAATAAAGTAGGTTTTTAACCCTTGCTACCAGCGTCACATATATGTGACATGAAACCTTGACCAATTTACGATAATCAGTTGCACCACCTCTTAGCACAAAAAGATTGGTTGACCTTAAGATCAAAATAGAGGTAGGGTACTCTTCGTCTGAAGACAACCGCATTTTACTAGCACTTGAGTGCTTCAATCCTCAGATCTGCAAAGCGCACTAAAAGACAGCAATCACAAGGACAATGCCAATTGCACCACCAATATTGAAATTGGTGACAGCACAGTGATGCAAAGCTCTGTCTTTGATTTGGCTACTAGTAAAGCAATTTTCACCCACCTTGATGAATCTCTTGAGCATATCGACACGTTTGGGGAGACTGGTCTCAGCGCACAGCTCAGAGGGCACCCAGTAGGCCTCTTTATTGACCACGTCTGCGAAGGCGTCCAGATTTCCACAACCCGTTGCGAATCCGCCTCCACCTCCACCGTCGTTGTCGATGTTCTCGTTGTTACTGCTATTGCTACAGCCATCAAGAGCAGAAGAGGCTGGAGGGGTGAGACCGAACACCTTGTCGACGAATTCCGCAGCTTCGATGGAACGGAAAATAGAGAAGTCATCCAAGGTCAGTTGGATGGCAACCTCCTCCGGTGATAGCTGTCAGTGAAACCGAAGTGTTAGTGGGTGCTGGATTTATGAAAATGGCAAGATATGCGTGAGCGTATGCGGATACTTGGGTGAGGGAGACGCGGCTCTCCTGATAGATGACTTTGGCCACCTCGTCGGTGATGAGAACATCGGACACGCGGTTAGGTTTGAGGTAGTAACGCGAGTTCAATGCGATTCGATTGGCCAAATCGTCCATGTTGTCTGCGATTCGACTCTGTTTCATGATCGGTCCCTCGTCCACAGTGACCTTGAAAGGTTTGAACAGTCTCAAATAACAAATCAAACATCTCAATGTGCTCAAAGGGAGGAAGGAGAAAAGGAATAAACACGCCACAGGATATCCAAGTGAGGTGAGGAAGAGAGAAAATGAAAAGAAATGTGCAACGGTAAATAGTAGAATGAATAGGAAAAGTCCTTCAGTGGCGTTAAATAAAAAGAATTCTCAATTGGACGGACCTAAAACCCAACAGAAGACTATTAAAGGTTAGAAAAGAAGGACAGTCGAAGGCAGGAGGAGGAGAAAAAGGATGGCCGACTCGACAGACATCCTACTGTTACGATAGCGGAAAAAAAGGAACGGGACGGAAAAAGACAGGTGACAAACTCACTAGACAGAGACAGAACTCCGCGGCAACATCGTCGACATCGATGCTAAACTCCTGGGCAGCGAGACGGACAGCGGTACGTGCGATGGTGCGCGGGTGGAGAGGCACTAGCTTGCTCACCTGGTCCTTCGCTTCCGCGCCCAGCGAGCGCCACACACGGATCACCGACATTCCTCCGGCCTCACCCATTCCTGCCGATGCGGAGGAGGCCCCACCCCACCACGCACCCTGTGGCTGGTCGCCTCTACTCCTGCCGCCAGCCCCAGTGATGGTTAAATCTGGCTGCGAGGAGGAGCGAGTGAGTCCCGAGGAGGAAGAGGGATCAAAGGAAGTGGAGGGAAGAAGAGACGTTTCGGCGGTAGCAGATGGTCTAACGGGGGGAAGAGGAGACCGCGGGTGTGGGGCGCCAGGCGGGTAACGGAGCGAAACCGCACCCCGAACGAGGTGCGACTAAACAGAAGGGACGGCAGCGCAAGGTCATTATGAAGAAGGTGTTGTGACGTGGAGTTAGTTGTTTCAGTAGTATACTTTATCATTTAGACGTTGAAACCAGCGTTTTACAACCTCTACGCCAGTTGCCCACACCTTCATGAACCTGGTCTGCGTTTCCAGCCTATCAGTCCTACTGCATATGGAGTGATGAAGATACCTCTAGACCTCGCTGCCCTAGGAGGCTATATTGAAAGTAGACAAGCCAGCAAATTCACCAATGACAATTGAGAGTTAGTTACTAGACAAACCTGTTCACCAGGAAGACGTTGACATTTTTGTTGTTGCTGTCGTTCCACCCAGTTGTCAATGGAAGAGGAGGGTATTCCAGCAGCTCGAGAAGAAGCGTTGATAAGGCTCCTAAAAGAAAAGGACACAATCATCAGTGGTTTACCACCTAACCATCTGTTCTAAGACCAAGTAAGTCCAAAGTACACCAAATCTTCCTCTAGGTCATTTTGAGGTCATTACAAATAAAGTCAATTTGATGATCCCGCCTAATTAATCCAGCATTAGGGTCAAACCTGCCTATTATCAGCATTAGTGAATTAGTCGTCAAACCACCGATCCGACTTAAAAACGCATACACACAAAAATACATAAAAAAAGCAAGCGGAAGAAGTTTTCGATTCGTCAGCACACATGCCTTTGGCGCACAGTTGATTGGTTGAGGGTACTCCTACTTTTGCACACACACACACACACACACAAACACATGCGGTGTGTAGGTGTATGAAAGGCGTGGATTCGACAAGAGAGGAGAGGACACAAATGAAATGGGGGAGCAAAGAAGGCAAGAAACTTACAGGCCCTCCTGAATGGAGGCCACCTCGAATGCGTTGAAGTGATCATCCCTGGTGGAGATGACAGTGGCTCGATTTTTGGAGGTCAATCGGGAGTTCAGTTCGCCCACATTGGACATGAGCTCGTAGAACTCTGTATGGAGGGGAAAGGGAGGAAGAAAGAGAGGGAGGCATTAGTACTCAATTTGGCAGGAGGGGACATTGTGATTGGTCACTTGGAGGTGACCAAAGAGACAGAACGCGAAAGGCAATTCCGGCCAAATGTGTGAGAGGTTATTTAAAGCACAGAGCGTATATGACATCCGATGCGGCGGACGCACTGCCATCGCATAAACGCACATCCACATGGCAATTGCACTTCCGAAAGGAGTATTTTAGCCAAAAGCTGTAGCAAAATGATGTTTATTTCTGGAATGAAAGAAAAAAGTAATACTGCGACAGAGGTAACAAAGTAGGAGCCAGTGAACACACCGATAGGGACTGTACAGCATGCATTCCAGTTAAACCGTTTCAATGTAAATACGACTGCTTATAAATGCCCGCAATTACTGGCCCACATCTCGGGCGCAAAGCACTCCAGCCCATTCAAAAAAGGAGGCGGTGATAAGCGAAGGTGGCCCTTGAACAGAGGCGTAAAACTCGGATCTGCGGATAAGTAATTTAAGAACAGCGCTGCATGACAACTGGATGCGCAGCCGTTCAGCGGTAAAACAATGACGCAAGTCTGTATTTCGCCACCATGGTGATTCCTATCCCATCATAACAGCAGACGGTCCAGTGAATGCCAATGAGACGAATCTTTCTAACGGAAAAAAATTTGCAGTTTGGTGAAGTCTGTACACATCGAGTGTCAAGAAGGCTATTCTCGGATTTTAAGCCTCACAGAAGGGTTAATTGTGGAAGAAGAGTTTTGAAAAGGAGCACAGCATGGATGCACCAATTTATTTTGTAATCAGAGTGAACGTCAAAGCAATGAAGGCTCGCGGATTCGACACTAAAGCCCAAGGAGCAAGATGGTTCAAGTCTGTTGG